GGCTGTGCCTGCGACGAATAGCCAGAACTTATTTCAGCAAATTCACCTAGAAAGAGACCTACAAACGAGTAACAGTAAAGGGTCGTGAGATGACGCGCATAGTGTGCACATACGCAGATTAAGCTGCAAATGACGCCCATATGTGGTTAAATTGATAATTATTGCAGATCACTGCCATTTTTGTGAACATTTTTGGAGGAATTATGCGCTGCGATGTTATCGCTCAGGGGATTATCAAAGCTACTAAGGAACTTGATATCAAGATTCCAATTGTTGTTCGTCTACAGGGTATGCTTTGCTGGAGGTCCCGGCACGAGGGTGACAATAAGGAAATCCACAGCGAAGCGGTTTAACAACGCACAAACTACGATCAACGCTAAATGGAAGTAGATAAGAGCATTTGGAAAAAAAAGAAGAAAGAATGACGAGAACGAAATGCCAATCCCGTGGCGTTTAAAGGCGCACTGCAGTATTTTGTTTGATTGGAGCACGTTTTTCGCTTGACAATAATTGCGCGCTTCAGCAGAGGCAAACACAAAACAAAGAGGTAAAGAGCCATCGGACCTTCTAACACTTGTTATAGGCTTTCGACTGACATAAAATTTCTTAAGATTCAAAAATTTTGCATGATTACCACTCTTAGCCGAGAAAGGCGTGCCCTTCATTCAGATGAGTTTTTTCGTATTTTTAAGGTCCTATTTCCCTTTGTGAATACATCAAATTTGCGCAACGTCGCCCCTTTTGGGCCGATTGTTCAATACTTGCATGCAAAAAAATCAAATTTTTGATTCCCGCGTTTTCCTCAAATTTGTCTTTTCTCTGTAAGCGCTTCTTTTTTATGCGAGTTAGAACGAACATAAGTTCAACTGCTGCTGAAGCTTCGGGAATCGCCTAAAACATACGCCCGCGAACGGCGCAGAGTCGCGCGAGGCGGACGCGAGCACTCTTGCCGCTGCGGCTATGACATTGTGATTGATACAGCCCCACATTACGGTTATACTTCTAAGTAGCATATTTCTTTGCTCTTTCCACAAAATGCCTAACATCTGCCACCCTCATGTCGGCAACTGCCTAGTTCTTTTCCATGAAATTCATCTTCAGGAACAAAAGTAGAAGAAGGTAAAGCCCTCATTGTCAAATCAAATCTGAGGATTGTGAGCTGTGATAATCTTGATGAGGTATGATGATTTTTTCTAATCAAGTTACATAAGAATCAGTTTATTTTTAGGCTGCTAAGATGGCTGTGAAGTTATCCGATGTTGTTAAATTGGCTCGAGATGATCATCTTGATGTGAAATTTCAAACGCCTTAGAACAAGTTTTTTTTTGGGTTATGTGTTCCCTAAGAAAAGAATCGGAAAAATTCAGCAATTGTTTTCTTTTTGTGTTCACTGCTAACAAAACATTTTGTTTCGTGTTCACTTGAAATGAAATAAAATGGGCTGTGACGATCATTGAGGCTTACAATTGTGCTCAATGTTATTGGCATCAGAAACTTCTAGAAGAAAAAACTAAAACTAATGAGAAAAGGGAAGTAGGTTTTTTGCACAAAAATTTGTTGGAAATCTTAGAAAAAGCAACGAAGAGAAGTTAATTCTACATACACATAAGTAAAGCACATTCAAGTAAAATGTTTAGTAGAACAATCCTTTATACCATGCAACTTTTAGAGTTCAAAAGAGAAATTCCATCAGACTACTCAGTCTTGCATCGTCGGAAAAAATTCATTTTGGAAAAAGATCTTCGGTTCAAATTCGTATTTTGGTTGCATATAGTAAAATTCGTATTTTCCTGTACACAATGGTACTTCGATCCAAAACAAAATAAAGATGCCGAGCCTTAAACTCTTCATAAACATCATTCATATCCGCAAAAAATCGATCAATACGAACTTTTTTCAATGGCAAAGACTGCATCGTAATGTTCAAAAACAAAACTTAATTAATACAAAACAAAACTGTGCTGCACATTTTTGCCACCAATAGTTGAGAAAAACGATTGGGTTCTCATTATCAGAATGATTCGCTGCGCTATGGCAACATTGATCATTTTCTTTGATCTTTTTCAAGAAAAGCAAGACTTCGCCTCTCATCAGTTCGAGCGATTTTGCTAGAGGAAACTGGGGGAAATTATGATTTCTCAAAAATTCAGTGCAAGGCTTGCATACATCCTAATAACTGTAATTTTGCACGTGTAATTGCAGACATAAAGCTTTGTTCCATAGAAAGTCATCTTCTCATAATTTCAGAATGCTGAAACTTGCCCTAGTAAAGTGATACAGAAGTTAAAGCAAAGTTTATCGATTGATCATTATTTCATTTTAATTTATGTATGTTTTACAATGCACTAGATAGGTGTTTCAAAAACAAAAAAGTAAAACGAGGAAACAAAACATTGAACGAACATGATAACCAGTCCTATCTGGGAAACGAGTATGAGGTAGTGGGAGGAAATTTAGAATAAAAGAATGAAACACGGAGCCCCGGATCATATCGACGTAAGGAATAGGAACTCCAGAGGGCAAAAGCCGATCAAAACTGATCAAAGGCTAGACTCCAGAATCTTGCTGCCAATAAAACCTGATGAACCCAAATTGTGTAAGAGAGGCGGAGGCTGGGTTTTTGGCTAGGTAAAGTCCCCTCAATGATACGACAAGCTGATCACATCTTACGGAAATGAACGACAAACAGGCTCAGGGAGTTCGAGCAATGAAGGGTTGAGAGCACTCATCTAAAAATCAGGAATCTTTAGAATCTAGAGTACATTGCAACTTTCCAGTCTCTTACGAAAAATGGTGGAGTCTTCACTTGATTTCAATTCATCTGACGGTGAGGATAACGATTTGAAGTGCGGTCAACGAATGAGCTGAAAATGATTGAAACTCAGACAATTGACCAGAACTTCCGCAAACCCTTTGCGGAGATTCCCCGAATCACTTGCGAAAGTTCCGTAAACGTGCTGCGGAAGTTCCG